TTGATGCTGCACCTCCTCACGCTGCCTGTTGATGCTGCACCTCCTCACGCTGCCTGTTGATGCTGCACCTCTTCACGCTGCATGCTGATGCTGCACCTCCTCATGCTGCCTGTTGATGCTGCAGCTCCTCACGCTGCCTGTTGATGCTGCAGCTGCTCACGTTGCCTGTTGATGCCGTACCTCCTCATGCTGCCTGTTGATGCTGCAGCTCCTCACGCTGCCTGTTGATGCTGCAGCTCCTCACGTTGCCTGTTGATGCCGTACCTCCTCATGCTGCCTATTGATGCCGTACCTCCTCATGCTGCCTGTTGATGCTGCAGCTCCTCATGCTGCCTGTTGATGCTGCACTTCCTCACGCTGCCTGTTGATGCTGCAGCTCCTCACGCTGCCTGTTGATGCTGCAGCTGCTCACGTTGCCTGTTGATGCCGTACCTCCTCATGCTGCATGCTGATGCTGCACCTCCTCACGCTGCCTGTTGATGCTGCACCTCCTCATGCTGCATGCTGACGCAGCAGCTGCTCAGACACCACTCATGCACCTGCAGCATCAACCGGACTCTGAAAGCTTGCTGAACAGTCACACTACGAAATGACTTGTTTTAAAATACTCTGTGTAGTTTTTAAAAACTCTTTGTTTCAACTTGTAAAATTCTGAGATTAAGTATTTGTGTTTATATGTGATATAGTTTTTTTTTTAGTTCATAAGACACTTTAATTTTCAAACGGAGAAGATTTTACTTCACAATGCTCATGAATTTGCTAAGAATGGTTTTGGCAGAAGCTTAGAAAATACTAGAACTTTTTGCAGTGACACTTCTGTCATGTCTTTAATGGGTAAAGGGGCATTCTAAATAATGGGGACAGTTATGGTTCATTTATTTTTACATATTTATTCATGTTTAAACAATAAAAATCAAGTGTAGCAGAAGGAATGTGCCTCTCCACACACACATTTCCTCAGAGTAATAAAACAAAGTCATAGTAATAGCACTGGTGTCAGAAACATTTGTTTAATGTGGGTGTAGATGAACAGATGCTCAGATATATTCATCAATTAACGCGGATTCCTCATTTTTCTGAACTGAATAAAACGTGCATTGAATTTAATGAAATGCAAACGTGAGACGTCATTTATATTTGACCCATCAAAATGAATGCGGTCATTTATTTACAGGATCAAAGTTTAACATCAAACATTTACATTAATTTGGCAAATTATGAAAATAACAACATAAGCGATCAATCAGGAAAAATCATACGGCCATGATTTTTCCGTTGCATCACCACAGACATTTATGAAAACTGTACAATTATGATCTTTTACCCACACGGATGTGGATGAGCACTTTACACAGACATTTCTAAAATATCTGGAAGAATATCTACTTGATAGAAGAGTTTAAAGATGGGAAAGAAGTTTAGAGGGAGTAAAAGATGGGGTTTGAGGGAGTGTTGACAGAACGGCACTCTCCGGGCTTTCTTCAGCCTCTCCTTACAGTACACTTAGGTGGTGAAATCGACTCTTTTACCTGGAGATGTCTCAGGCGAGATTCCGTTTAACGCACCCTTCAGCGTCTCCGTAGGATGCTGTTACTCGTCCGGAGTAGCGGCGAGATTCTGTTTTCCCACAGCTCACCTCAGTGGAAAATGTTATAATCCCATGAAACTCGGAAGAGCTCTGTTGTCATGTCAGGATCTTCCCGGCTCCCAGAACTGGGCTTCTCCGCACAGAACTGAACAGAACTGAACTCAACCGAACCGAGTAGAACCCTCACAGAACTCTCACAGAACTGGCAGAACTGTGTATCCAACAGAAC